GGATTCTGTTTGACAGTGGAGCTTCAGCGAATTGCTGCCGTTAGACGGTGAACTTCCACCTTTGAGAAGCATCAGTGGACAACCTCTTCATGTTTATGGTCGTCGGTTGATTCGTATGACTTTGGATGGTGCTCCTACGCGTTTTCACTTTTACGTTTGCGATGTTCCTTACCCAGTCATTCCGGTTGCCCGATTACTTTTACAAGGATACAAGGTCAACATGAACTCCCCTGATACCTGTACTTTGACAACACCAGATGGACAAGAAGCACGGATTGTTCGTCATGGTTCACTTTTGTTTCTTTGTCCCCAACTTGACTCATTCAACGAGTATGACTTTGCTCCGTTGTGTAATGAGTTTAACGCACAATTCAACTCTGAAACACCCCCTGGACTCATGGCAACTTTCACACCAGTTTACCATCATGCTGACCGATGGATTCTGAAAGACAATACCCTGGATCTCCAATATAGCTTGTTTAAGCAATCTGCCTTAAATAGATAATATTGATTTGTTTTTACAACATTGCTTCAATTTAACTTTGAATATAGCTTATTTAAGCAATGTACTTTTGGCACTTTTAAGCATGAATATATAGCTGCAAGGATCATACAGCTCCTGTGTAGGAGATGCTTGGATGAAGTGCAATCATCATGGTTATCATTGTAGGATTTGGCTCAAATGCTACCATTTTTTTCTGCCTACTTGAAGGCAAGTCTCGCGGAAGCTATGGTGCTTCACCAGAAGATTTGAGAAAAAATGAAGATTCATTTGCCCAGACCTCCATCCATAGGCTTCTTCAGTATGACCACAGAGCAGCAGATCAATGAGCAAGAGGAGTTGTTGAAGGAAAAGATTCTGACCAGCAGTCGCCCCACTGCAAGTTGGATATCTTCTGCCTGCAAACTTGTATGGCAAAAGTGCGACAGTGAGCTGCTGAACAAATTTTCCAAATGCATGGCAACTTGCTCCCAATTTTGCTTTTCCAAAGCACTGCAAGCTACCTCTGGTGCCAAGTTGTCTCCTGCAGTGAAAAGACTTGTGAAAGTTATCAACCAAAGTTCATCTAGACCTTGGGCCTGTGGTGACAAATTGGTTCGAAAGCTGAAGAGGGTGCCTTGGATGAGACATACTTTTTCCCGAGAGCGTCTGAGCGCAGGGTTCTTCCAATAGTGGGGGTCTGTAAAACACCTTCTCATCTTCACACCTTCTCATCTTCACATCTTCTCATTTTCACATCTTCTCATCCCCACATCTTCTCCTCATCTTCTCATCTTCTCATCTTCACATCTTCTCAGATCTTCACATCTTCTCATCTTCACATCTTCTCATCCTCACATCTTCTCCTCATCTTCTCATCTTCTCCTCATCTTCTCATCTTCTCACATCTTCTCACATCTTCTCACATCTTCTCACATCTTCTCACATCTTCTCACATCTTCTCACATCTTCTCACATCTTCTCACATCTTCTCACATCTTCTCACATCTTCTCACATCTTCTCACATCTTCTCACATCGTCTCACATCTTCTCATCTTCACATCTTCTCATCTCACATCTTCTCCTCTTGCCCTCTTGTCCTCTTGCCCTCTTGCCCTCTTGCCCTCTTGACCTCTCCTTCTTTTCTATTTCTCTCTTGAAGGCGGGAGCAGGGGCAGTGCCAACGAGACGGCACGAAACGCAACCCTTTCGCACGAAATGAGGTTCGATCTTCAAAAACTGAAGTAAAATTGCGATTTCAACGCAACCTTTTCGCACGAAATGAGGTTCGATCGTCAAAAACTGAAGTAAAATTGCGATTTCAAGGTGTCCCGCGGAACCCTTTCGCACGAAATGAGGTTCGATCGCCAAAAACTGAGGTAAAATTGCGATTTGCAAGTCGTCCGGCGCAACCCTTTCGCACGAAATGAGGTTCGATCTTCAAAAACTGAGGTAAAAGTGCGAGTTCAAGTCATCCCGCGCAACTCTTTCGCACGAAACGAGGTTCGATCGCCAAAAACTGAGGTAAAATTGCGATTTCCGGCTTCCCGTTGCAACCTTTTCGCACGAAATGAGGGTCGATCGCCAAAAACTGCGGTAACATTGCGATTTCAAGGTGTTCGGCGCAACCCTTTCGCACGAAATGAGGGTCGATCGCCAAAAACTGAGGTAAAATTGCGATTTTTTCTGTGTGTACAAAGCTTCTGTGTGTAAAAGCATTGCTTAAAAGCTTCTGTGTGCTCTGTGTCAAAGTGTCTGTGTGTCAAAGCGTCTGTGTGTAAAAGTTTCTGTGTGTAAAGGTGTCTGTGTGTAAAAGCTTCTATGTGTAAAAGCGTTTGTGTAAAAAGCGTCTGTGTAAAAGCTTCTGCGTGTAAAAGCGTCTGTGTGTAAAAGTGTTTGTGTGTAAAAGTGTTTGTGTGTAAAACTGTTTGTATGTAAAAGTGTTTGTGTGTAAAAGTGCCTGTGTGTCAAAGTGTCTATGTGTAAAAGCTTCTGTGTGTAAAAGTTTTGTGTGTAAAAGCGTCTGCGTGTAAACGCTTCTGTGTGTAAAAGCTCCTGTGTGTAAAAGGGTCTTTGTTAAAAGTGTCTGTGTGTAAAAGTGTCTGTGTGTAAAAGCATCTGTGTAAAAGCGTCTGTGTGTAAAAGTGCCTGTGTGTAAAAGCTTCTGTGGGTAAAAGCTTTGTGTGTAGAAGCGTCTGTGTAAAAGCGTCTGTGTGTAAAAGCTTCTGTGTGTAAAAGTGACTGTGTGTGACATGGTCTGTGTGTAAAAGGGTCTGTGTGTGAAAGTGTCTGTCTGTAAAAGCTTCTGTGTGTGAAAGCTTTTGTGTGTAAAAGCTTAGTAAGAGCTTCTGTGTGTAAAAGCTTTTGTGTTTAAAAGCGTTTGTGTGTAAAAGCTTCTGTGTGTAAAAGTGTTTGCGATGCAAACTATTGTCTTGCACTTCTGCTATTTTGTCTTGATACTCGTCTTCTCGACTGCCCATAACACATCTTTAATATATTGTTTGTAATATGGTGTCTCCATACTAACAAGAGAAGACCCTGCTCCTCTACGCTCTCGGGCCATCCGTCGTCTAGTTTTGGTGTGCTTTTGTTAAAGTCTTTTTGGAAAGCATTTGGCTGGAGTGCTTTGCTGCCTCAGGAACGATCTGATGCATCTGACAAAGCTGCTGGTTCTCCTGCTAAGAAGATGCCAACCCAGAGCAGCTCCAGTACCATGCATGCAGTGGCAGATGTACAGTCACTCTATGCTTTGGCAGGTGTCTCCATTGGCAAAACTTCTTCTAGTTCCAGAACTGCCAATGCCACTGCTTCCTCTGTGGATGGCATTCTCATTTCTTCTGAGGAGGACAAGGAAGATAGCACTGTGAAGCTTCCAACCATGGACCAACCTGCTGGCAAGGCATGGTTTGATGCCAAGAGAGGCTGCATGGTTAGAGGCATTCCTGGAGAAGCTGGTGCTGTAGAAGAGGCTGCTATGTCACCTGGTGACTCTGGCTTTCTTGTGGCAACTTTTCCTGGTGAGAGTGGCTTTGAAACCGAGATTCCAAATTCATTGATCAGTTTGGCTAAAGGTTCCCCTTCAGCCAGCAAGGCCAAAGGCAAAGCCAAGGCCAAAGCTAAAGGCAAAGCTGTTGCCAAAGGCAAAGCTAAATCTCATCCCAAGGGCAAAGCAAAAGCTAAGCCCAAGGGGAAAGCAAAGGCAAACACTGTTGCTGCCTGTGATGAGCTTGGTTTCCTTTGTGATACTTGGCTTATCCAATCCAGTTGCAGCTGCAAGCACTGTGCAGACAGAGCATCGCTGTGTGACAGATGCAACGGGTCCACTGATGAACTTGTTGTTTCTTGTGCTGGATAACACTGATCATGATTCTTTGTCTTTTGAGCGGTATCATTACAAATCCCCAGGTAAATGTGGCATCAGGCAGAAGAAGCCTGTGAGAACCCAGTTGTTTGAATTTGGAGATTTCTCTGTGCTGAAAAAAGATCTGTATGAAATTGCAGATCAGGCCATTACCCGTTTGTTGGCCAAGGATTTGGCCATAGCAGATGCTAAGTCTTGGTGCCTTGAAAGGCTTGAATCTCTCAAGCAATCTTAGGCTCCTTTTGTAGATTGCTTTCTGCAAGTTTTTGCCATTTGAACAAATACTTGTTGGATGTGTGTGGGTGCAACTTTCTCCTGTGGAGGAGATTGGTCTCCTGTGCAAGAGGTATAATGTTAATGTCTTTTTAGTTAGGGCTGCAGCAGCCTTGATCCCAGGAAACTTCTATTTCCTCCTGTGGTGGAGATTCCTCCTGTGGTGGAGATTGCATGCCAACTGCGACCTATCAGTCTGGACCTCAGTTTTGTCAGGTTTTGGAGTGTGGTCAAAGTTTTAAGGCAAATCTATATAGAATGTAGGATTGTTGTTGGCACACAAACACTTCTAAGGTAAATCTCCTGTGTAGGATTGTTGTTGGTACACAAACACTCCTGTGCAGGAGGGATTTAGGTCATGTTTTTGGCAATGTGTGTCAAAATGTTATAGTTTCATGTGTGCATGTCCACTGCAGCTGTCAAGCAAATCTTTTTTTGTTTCACCAAGCTTCGCCGCCATGGGAGCAAACCAGAGCAGAACAGATGCTCATGTGAGCCAGGAGGATATTGCAGATGGTGTTGACTTAGCATTAGCTGTAGCTCTGTCAGTTGAAGCACCTCCAGGAATTCCTGCTGCTCCTCCTTTTGCAGCTGCTGCTCCAGAGGCAGCTGCTGCGAAGGTTCTGATGGCCAGCATCTTCGACTCTGCAGGGTTTGTAACACAGTCTCCTACCTGAGGCAGGGTGTTTGCTTGAACCCACGATGCAGACTGGGTGCTCGTGTGCAATCCTGGGGGACTGAAAATTCCCAGGAAACAGCAACAGCTGACCAACTTGAAGGAGCCCGTAAAAGGAGGCAGGGAAGCAGCTAGTATGACAAGCAGGGCAATCCAAAGAGATCCAAGGGTGTGAAGCACAGACAATGGAGTCAGTCCTTTGCAGAGGGAAAACATCCTCGGACAGGAGTGGACACCTGGACACCTATTCAGCGACTAGGGAAGTGGTGGATATGGACCAGGGAAACCCGCTGGAAAGCTTGTGATACCTATGAGGCTGCTTTAGCTGCCAAAGAAGGTATCTATGCCTCCAGGTCTCCAGCCTCTGCAGCACCAGAAGCAGCTGCAACACCAGAAGCTGCTGCTTCAGCTGTTTTTTTCGTGGGCAGGAAAGGCTGCAGCAACTGCCAAAAAGAGTGGGCCCCATGCTGGTTTGGATGAGCTCTGGGCAAAACCAGCACCTCCGGTGAAGGAATTTGCATACAACCAGATGAGGGAAACACTGGAGAGGGAAGAACAGGAGCACATAGCCATGGCAAACTATGGGATGGCAACCAGTGCCAGGCCACCAACAGCTCCATGGAGGATGCCCCAGCCAGCACCACCAACTCCAAAGGCTGCACCAGAAGCTCCAAAGGCAGCAGCTGTACCAGAAGGATCCTTTGTCACAAACTTCGGAATGGCGACCAGTTTGTGGGGAGATTAATTTGTAGGGAGATTTGGGCATCTCAAAAAGTACTTTTTGAGCAAAAAGTGTCTCGTGCTAACATGTCATAACATCTCCGTGTCTTACAATGATTTATAACGTGAAAAAGTGAAAAATGAAAAGTAAAAAAACGATTTATATTAGATTGAAAAGGTTTATTTAAAAAAATAGTATCCTTGATGGATGTGGCATGGTCAATGGTTGTCAATTGAGTCAATTGTGTCTTATTATTGGCAATGAGAGCAGAGCTTGGTGATGGAACTTCAATCATCAAGTTTACTACATTGCCAACATTACTATTTATTGGGCATGTCTAGTACCTGTGTTTGCATATGCCCATGGAAGGATGTGTGTTATACACATCTTGTCAGGATGATTATGCATCCCCAGGTCACATGGCAATGCATATTTCCTGTTGCCGATGTGATATCTCACAAACATGCCAACATCTTCCCCTCAATTAGTCAGTCAGTCAATTGTGTCAATTGCATCTGTTGTGTTTCTTCAATTTCTGATGTTGAGTTCTTGTGGTGTGAAGTGGTTTCAGATTGAGATTCTCTGAATTGAGTCATTGCTTGAGATGTTACTACATTGTCATTCACCTGCTCGGGCCTTAGTTTGTAAACATGTCTCATTGACAAATGATTTGCGTCAATTGTGTCATTTGAGTCATTTGGATGTTTGCAGGTCAATGTTTTGTTTGGATGTTTCAAGGGGGGGCTGCAGCGCGTCAACTTCATCAATGACAAGGAGCTGGTGAGTTCATTATTGCTGCAATTGTTCAATTCTTGAACCGGGGCCATGTGTGGGTGGTGGCAATTTTGGCTCAATATTTGCAGGATTTACTGCATCATTCAATTTGGTCACTTGGTGGATCAGCTGAATTTTGTCATAAGCTGTCAATTGTGTCACTTGTTTGCCATGTCGGTTCCTGTTGCTGATGGTTCCCTTCCGATGATGGTCCTGGCCCCCAGTATCATTCAAGAGGCAGGTTTGATTGATTGGAGTGTGTTCTGAGTTGTGTGTCCATTATACAATATAGATAAAGTTTGGCTTGTGGGGTCTGAATTATTATTACGGCTGCTGGTCACTGCATCTCATGAGCAGGATCGTCGGGTGAAATGGCCAAAGTACAAAAAGAGCCTTGGTTCAAATAACATAAGGCAACAAGGACCTTCTGAGACATGTGGTGTTGCGCGCTTTCGCATTGTCAGCGAACCGAGGATGGATGGAGGGCGCAAAGTTGATGCAGATCAATGCCTGAAGCACCCATCTCTAGAGATTCTTGCCAGTGATTCTTAGTGATGTCAAAGTAACCTGATGGTTGGCTCCAGTGATCGATCATTTACAAAACTACAGCCTGTGAGGAAAGCGAAAGAGATGCTGCATGACTTCCTGATGGACAGGATGGCCAAGTTACTGGTTGAGAAACCTGAATTGCGTTTGAAGGCCAATCTGCAGAAGTTGTTGGACGAGCTCAACAACGATGACATTGAGGTGGGATCATAATGTTGCTTCAGTCCATGTGGTTTTCAGTACTCAGTAGTCAATCGGTTTTGCCAGGTGCGTTGCGATGCCAAAAATTGTTGAGAACCATCAGCCATGCTGCAGGCGAATTGCTGGTCTTGCCATGTGCAAATTGACAACGACCTGTGGCTGGTGGTGCCCAGTATGCCCAAGAATGCGCCGAACCTGATTATCTTCCACAGGGGCGCCTACCTCAATTGAGTCAAGTGAATGTTGGAATCCTTTGAATTTCAAATGTTCACACATGACATGAATGTTCACATTTCTGGAGTCAATTCACACGACTGAAATTGGAAAACCTGCAGGCGAAATCGCTGTGGAGTTCGGCGGCTTCTTCTGTAAGCGTTTGATCCAATTTCATTTGCCCACTGTGGCGGATGACAATGAAGAGCCAGCTGTGCAAGAGCCACAATCGCTCCCGCCAGATAGCCAGTAGACACAGACAGCAAGAGACTGACTCAACTGACACACTGAGTAGCATCTGAAGTGATGAGCAGAAACCAAGGGGTGGTCAGTGATTCTGATGGCTTCAATTGTCTCAACATCATCATACATGGCCGACATGATTGATTCGTTCAGTCACATGTGGAAAACGATGATCAACTTATTGATTGAAGGGTTTAACTGTGGCAGGATCTGGGCGCTTGTCATTCTCTCAGTACTCAGAACCAATGATTTGACTTGACTTGCTTTCTTCCATACAAATGCAATTACATTGCGTCAATTGAATCAATTGAGTTCAGACTTGAAATTGAAACTAACAAGAAGTGTTGCAGTCATGTCATTGCATTCTTCAATGTGAGGCCTGAACCAAGTTTCGAGCCTGCAGATGTTTTTGAAAGGCCCGGTTCTGCTCCAGTCTTAATTCTTTTCAACATAACATGTTGAAGCTTCTAACAGTGACACAGTGTCTGTTGTGGCATCGCCTGTTTAACTGGAAAGCTGATTGATTTCATTTGGTTCTTCATGCAGTGCTATTGCAGAGATTCTCTCAATTGTGTCAAGTATTGATGTCTCTTGGGTTTGAGTGACTGAGTTGTATGAGAAGCAGCTCAAGAACAGTAGAAACTTCAAAATGCAATTACACTAGGTAGAGGAACTCAAGCATTGAAGTTGGACAATTTAGCCAGACATCTACTCTAGAAAGCAAGTAAAAAAACTATAAAATCAAAGTCATCTACTTAATTGAATGAAATCGAAATCATCGACTTAATTGAACAAAATCAAATTCATCTACTAACTTAAATTCCAGCCAGCGATATTGCCTTGCCAATTGTCAATTGTGTCAAATTGCTTCAATTGCTTTCAATTGATCGAAGCCATGGCGAACAAGATTCCTCGTAGCTATGCGCCTGGTGACAACAAGGACTACGACAAGAAGAAGCCAGGCAACGAGGAGTCTGAGTCCCAGTACCCGTTGGTGGTGGCACAGCCGCAGAAGAAACATGTGGCCTATGTGTTCTACTACTACCATTCTGGGAGCGGACGTCGCTCGGAGTGGATGACCCTCTGCAAGGACACTATGCAGTGCAACTTCCGGAGTGTCTTGGTTTTGAACTGATTTGCCTTAAGTAAACAAACGTTGTTCTGAGTGTGCTGCAGTGCTTTCAAGTGACATCAATTGTTTCAATTGCCTCAAGTGCTTTAAGTTTTAAAACATTGTCTTTGAGCAGCTTGCTTTGCTGAGGCAGAACTCGTGGAGGAGCATTGCGCTGGAGTGGATTGCATGGCAAATGGAGCTGGGATGATGGCACTCTCCGGATTTGGGACTGGAACTGCCGGGGCGAGCATGCGCCCAAAGCGTGCCGCAAGGACACGGGATTTGTCTTGGCTGCAGACAATGAGTTCCTTTGTGATCAGATATCCCCGTGCGGTCATGCGGTCCGGAGACGAATGTGGTACATTGGCGAATTCCACATCGAGGCTTGGAACATTGTCACTGTCAATTGTGTTATTGAATTTTTCATTGACAATAGATTTGCACTTGCATGAACCAAGCATGGTAAGGTCATGAACACAGTAGGTTAGTCAGCAATTGGTAGTGCTTCCAAGTCAGTTGGCTCATTTTGGACCATTGGACTTGCTGAACAGGTCCTCGAGGCGTTGGCTGCTGAAGCGGAGCTGGAGGATGTGACGGCGCTGTCAATTGCGTCATGGCAGCCATCGTCATTGTCAATTGCGTCAGGTGTGCTGGCTCTGGAGGATGGCACAGAAGTAGAGGATGGCGAGTGGATTCTCTTTTGAAATTTGATGAGTCTTGGCAGTCTTCAATCCCTGACCAGGTTTTGTGGTAACTTGGTGAAATTCAAACTGCTGCCCTTCAGTTCACTTGGAATGTCATTCTTTAGTTTGTTTGGACCATTGGAATGCCTGTGGTGACCCCTGCTTCTCCCTGTCCAAACCCATCAATTAAACGAGTTCATGTGCTGCGCCCATGCCAAGGAAGGAAGCCATCCCAAAGTGCCTGCTGGCTTGGTTCCTGATATTAGAATTGCTGTGAGCTGTTTTTGGCAAGATTCCAGAAGTGGGTGTGTATGGTTCCTCTTACTCTTGATTATAAAAAGCAAAAAATGTTGTTGAAGCAATGGTGTGCTTTCAAAACGGAATTGAGGAACCATCATGATACCCATTATTCCAGAAGTGGGTGTGTATGGTTCCTCTTACTCTTGATGACAAAAAACAAAACATGTTGTTGGGGCAATGGTGTGCTTTCAAAACGGAATTGAGGAACCATCATGATTAGCTGAGATGGAAAGTTTGTCAATTGAAGCACAATTGCAGCTCAATTGCCTTTTCTTTTGAAATAGGAGTACCGTGCTTGAAAACATGAGCATTCAGTGGAAGACATGTCAAGGCTGAACTTCGAGATATATCTTTGTTGACATGCTAACAAAGTGTCAATTGCTTGTGATTCTAGTGTGCTACCATCCAAGTGGCCAGGCGTGGCCTTCGATTCAGGGTGGGGGCCCCAGGATTTCTTTGACAAGCACTTTGGCAAAGTCATTTTAATCTTGAAAAGTGATTTGGTCAATTGGGTCAATTGAGTCAATTGTTCAGTTCATTTTGTTCTACTCATCCAGGGCTTTTATTTATTATTCAGCAGCTGTGCCAATGCATCAATCAAATTATGTGAAAGAATGGATGAATGAAAAGAATGTCAGAGGCAATAGGGCTCAAACTGCGTGATTTGTGTTGATTGACTGATTTGCTGTTTGTCTTAATTGTGTGATTTAATCCATCATGGCAGGTCCCGTGCGCGTAGAGATCCAGGGCGCAGGACGAGGGCAAGGCCATGGGGGAGGCACTGGGTTTTTTTGGCGATAACTTCTGATACCCATAATATGGTCACTGGTTGGTGGTTTCAAACATGGCTTTTATTTTCCAGAATATATTTTATTTCATTATATATATATATATAATATGTTATTTTATTATACAATAATATATATATATATATTATACTATATATAATGTAATATAATATAATATAATACATACAATATAATATAATATAATAGAGTAATATATATATATATATATACGTATTATATACTATACATATAATTTATGTATAATATATATATATATACATACATATGGGATAGAATCCTTCCCATTGACTCATATTTTTCATGGTTAAAACCACCAGAGTCATTTCGTACAATGATGATACATCATGGGATTTTGGGGATAGCCATGGGCCATTGAGCTTGATGATTGAGCAATTGATCTATCAAAAACCGGTGATTTAGATGCATTTTCCAAGGGAAATTGGCCATTGATAGATGATTTATGCATGATTTACCTCTTAAGCAAAGGTGATCTTCATTGATTTTCCAGTTCGCAAACTGGTAACCTCCTGGAATTCACCATCAAACTTCACACGGTGATATCTTTATACAATTATCTTGGGGATTTCATGGGAAATAAACAACCAGATTCTGGAACTTGGATTCTGCAAAAAAATCTGGTTTGATATAATTAATATGGATGTGCGATGATATGAGTAAGCGACAAAATTAGGGGAAGACTAAAGTAGGGAGTGGACTTGGGATGTTCAAATTGTTGTGAAAACCTTCACAACCGATAGGGGACCACCCACTTTGTGACATTGGTGGCAGGCTCATGGATACACCCAGGCGAGGCATGTGTTGTTCAAGTGCCAGTCATTCAATTTGATTCATTGAATTGCATTGTACTTGAATTACGCGTGCTTGCGAATCATGACAATATTATGGCAGTTGTCCTGAAGCAACTAGTGCTCAAAGCATTAATTGGTGCCCCAGCCCATGATTTTGATTACAGTAATTCAATTGTGTCAATTGTGTCATTTGTATCAAAACAGATTTGAAAACAAGTCATGCTTCATGCAGAAAAACATGATATGTTATTTCAAGGGCAACCCAATGAACAACAACAAACACACAACAATTTTATTTCAAACTTATGTCTTCGGGCTCGATTGCTTTGCAATACCTGCCGTCTGAGTGGCGCCCATCGGTGAGCAAGTGGCCAAGGAAAGCGCAACAGGTCGCTTGATCGCACATGAAACAAACGCAATTGAGCAGTTGGATCATTTATTATCTTATTTCAAGAGTGTCAGAAGATAAATCCCAACGTTGTTACTAGAATCTGGGAATAGTGCATTAGCAAACTGCTTGCTTGAGGCACTCTACTTCATCTACCTTGAGTGCCCAAGCAACGCCCAGGACTTGGTGCCTCTTGGATCAAAGAAGTGGGGATTAAGTTTGCTGATTTGGGCTTCTATGTTTCATTTGATGATGTTTAACGTGTGTTGTGGTGAGTTCTCTTCAATTGGGTCAATTGTCAGAGAAAGTGTGGGTCAATTCAATTCACTTGTTTGTTACTCAGGGATTTGGTGGAGAAGAAGAAGCCTACTGACATCCTCAAGTACGTTCTGTCGATTACGAGGCAAAAGGTGAAGGAGTAACTTACCTGCATTGCAGGATGTTCTGCTTTGATTGTTGCCAATGATGGCTTTCAGCTGGTTCATTACCAAGGTACCACCAGAACAAGGGCATCAAGTATGACAACGTCGGGTGGAACAAAAAAAAGTGACCAAACCGCAGTTTCTTGGCTTATCAAAGAAGTTTGCTGAATCACATTGGCTGGTTTGGATCAAGTGTGTTAATTGTGTTAATTGTGTCAGCCATGTGAAGTGTTGAAGTGCTGGCAATTGTCTGCTTTGGATGTAGTGCAGTGATTGTGTCAATTGGGTGGGTCTGCTTTGGTATAATGATGTCAGGTTCCTATCATGCTTTGGAACACACAAGTGGTCCACTGGCCGGCACGAGTCGCAATCCTGGGGTATGGATCGGGCAATGCCAGACGTGGTTGGAAGGACAGAGCCTTGTGTCAAGATCATGATGGAAATTGACAATAATTTATGCACTTTTGCATAGTTCTCTAGCGGCT